GCTCCCTTGGGCTCATTCCTGAGTCTGGCTGTGCTGGAGGATACTCGGACAGTTACTGCGCTGCAGGATGCCCCCCTCTACCCTCCTCGTGTGCCCAAGAAGAAGAAAATCAGTAAATAATATTATTCCCCTTGGAGATGCTCGGGTGAGAAGGGTTTGTGTTTTCAGGTATTTTGCAAATACTAGCAAATTTCAATTTGTTTGGGAGGAAAGAAATGATTCCCCTCCCTACTTTCCAGATAAAGCATAAAGAAATTCAATATTCAATTAAGGGAGGCTTTCAGGAGCTCTAATTCCCTGTTCCCTGTTGTAGCCATACTTCATTCCACAGCAGTTGATAAAAATTGCAGATTCAGAGCTGTGCATCTATTTGAGATTTTATTCCACCAGCCACAGGCCCTTTTGTAGCAATCTGCTCCTCACTTGCTTTCAGTGCCATTAATTAGAGTTCAGCATCCTGCTGTACCTGAGGGTGCAGCTGCATTTCCACTATACAAACTCTTGTTTATTTGCATAACAGCTAATGTATTTAATTATAAGGGTGCCTTTTATTTTTTCTGGGATGAGATTTAGCATGAAAGCTATTTGTTCAAGAGATTACTTTTTTTTCCCAATCTTTGCTTACTTGGATGTTATAAAGTACTTGCTTTTCATGGAAAATAATGAATATTATTGCCTATATATATATATATATATACATATATGATAGAAAAGTCAAAATGAGAAGCAGGGTCAAGTATTGCTTATTCCACAGCTGTGGCTGACAGTGACCTGCTGCTTTTCTGCTCCAAGGAATACCCAGAACAAGGCATTGGGTAAGCAGGATTATTTTACTGTGTTTAAATTCATTTATCATAGTCTGTGTTAGGTTAGCCCAAATCCTCCCAACCTGGGACGAACATATAGGGAAAGGGGCATGAAGAGACAGGCAAATATATTATTTCTGTTTCTAATACTGCCACATGGTCTTAGCCATTGAAATAAGATAGACAAATGGTGGTGCTTGTTTACGAAAGGCAATGTTTTGCTTGGAAAATGATGCATTTAGCTTCTCAAGCACAAGAAAGGCAAGGAAAAGTGCCTGTATCCGCTACGGAATAGCCCCAGGCCAAGGAGCTTGCAGTCTAAACAGCCCTGGGCAAACCAGTGTTTCCTGCTCACGTATTAGAGATGAGGAGCTGAGACACCAGGAGCTCCAGTGACTCCAACCACCTCGAATCACAGCCCTGTCCTACATGTGTGAGCATCCTTGAGACCCGGGTTTTGTGTCTCTAATGGCACTCATGCCTCCCTCTTGTAGGTGATGTGAAGCAGCAGTAAATTACCCTGTTTTCTGCGTTTCTACGTGATGCAGCAGTTTGCAAGGTAAGGGCATGCAAAGGGTTAAGCGTAAGCGCTTGCTCTGGCTGTGTTCTTATGAGTTATTGAGGGTGTAGCATGGCCACAGCTTCAGCAAAGCTCCCACTGGACTTAATGTGCTGCTTTCTGCAGTAAATTGCAGGAGTGGCCTTTTACTGCAGTTCATAACCTCCTTTCGGGTACTTTATTAGGCTGATTTGTTCATAAGTTCAATATACAACACAGCAGGATGCCTAAACCAGAGAAATATACCTAGAGGTCTCTAATAACTAACTTTAAAGGGATTTATATACACAAAATTGATACTAGTGCAGAGATCAAAACACCGAAGTTGGCTGAAGGCAAAAAAATGACCCAGCCAAGTTGATTGTTTAAGCTGAAAAATCTGCAAAAATCTTTAAAAAAAATCAGAATAAAATTAGAAGAAAATTATAGTTCTGATTCAAACCTCAATTACAGGAGTTTTTACCCTAGTTCTATCCTGGGAACCTCTCCGGTTATGATGTCTTATTACTAAGGCAGAAAAAGAACTCGAGGGATCTTTAAAAAAAATGCTCCTTAAACGGCTTGTATTTTTATATTGTCATTAGAAGCATACAAGGTGAAAAGAATTCCCATTCTGCAGAGAAGTTTGTATAACACAACTAATAATCCTTTGCATGTTTTATTTTGAAAACAAAGCAGTCCAAAAAGGAAGATTTTTTTTTTTTGATATTAACACTGTGTTCCATGCAAGTAATCCATAGTAAATACTTTGCATTAAAAGACAGTTAAAGTGCCTTTAGTTCCCCCGAATAGTCCAACTGTGCTGTAAATTCAAGTATGTGGCAAGTAGGCCTTATATTAAGAGGAGGGATTTGAGCCAGGTCGTGCTCCCCTTAATGTCACAAAAGCAGAGGTTCGCCACCAGCTTTGGCAGAGCAGAACCAAGGCCTTTTTTGTCTCTCCATGGTCTGTTTTCACAAGCGCCGAGCACAGACACGCGGCCACCGGCCAGCCTGAAGCTGTCACTTTCTGCCTGTTGACAGGCGGTTCCCTCACACCCCAACAGCGGGCTCGGCTGTTGCTACAGCCTGCGAGGGCAACTGTGCTTGCAAAGACAAGTAGGAGCCGTAGCAGGTGGTTGCACTTTGCAACCCCTTGCCAACCAGCTGAGCAATGGACTGAGCACATATAGCCCAGCCCCTTTTATAGCTATAAAATACCCAGGTCCATATACACATGTGCGTTTTCTTTGAAGGAAGCCCAGATGATGGGTTCATCTGAATCCAAAGTAAAACTTCAGCATTTGGCTACAGAAGCCACGTGATTAAAAGCATAATCAAAACCGTTTTATGGCAGAGTTGTGTTCATGCTTTGACCCTGGAGACTCGCAAGATTAACCAGCATCTTGAAGTCAACGGTGTTGCACAGATGGGACGGGAGTATTGATTCAGCTGCATTTTAATTGGTGTAGCCAGCATTAAAGCATTATACTTGAGCCCGGACTCCTCTCTGCTGTTTGCTTCAATATTAGAGCAGTACTTGGTGGTGGTAAAGACACGTTTTTCTTTCTTCTAGACATCAGCAATGGAACCGTTTTCCCCAACAAAGTCACGTGCAAAGAAAATCCAGAAAAGATTGTTCTCTGCTGACTCACCAGCTTCCCAGATGTGAACATCAAGTGCCTGGAGCTAAACCTCGTGATGAAAGGTAGGACAGATTTTGTTTTTTCAACTTGAGACACAGCCAGCAAGTGCCTCGTTTCTCCAGCCTGGGCAGAGGCAGCTCCTGAGCAGATTCCTCACTGGTTACACTGGATGGGTTGAAAATAATCAGCTCAGGGCCCACACATGACTATGGGCAGCAACGTCTTAATCTATTCCACCACAAACAGTTCATGAACCAGAGCTGTTAACGTTGTAACATGACTCTGAACTCTGCCTCATGATATCCTCATACCATGTCCTTTAGTAAAAGGTGGACAAAACATCTCCTAGACACCTACAGAATAGCCTGTCTGCTCTTTATTTTTATTTTTTTAATAAAGGTCTTTAATTCCAGGCAGTCAGACCTTGGCATCTGCCCTGAAGTACAGATGCTTGATATGCTTCAGTTATTTCTGCACTATGGCACTGGGATGCAGTTATTCCCCACCTAAATGTCTAGTCTGTTTTCTTTTTTTCCTTTTTTTTTTTTTTTTTTGGAATCTGTCTAAGATTCTGGCTGCAGTAATGCAGCAATGATACAGCTCAGTACACACTAGATTAAGTCTATTTTCTTTTAACTTTGCAGCATTTTACAATTGTTGAACATAGGCTGGTATTTTGGTTTCCAGGAGGGGAAGAGAAATACCCCCAAAATCTGGCTATGAATGTTAAGAAAAATAGTCAAAACAAGGCCATTATTTGAAAGCATTTAAATCCAGAGAAAATTCCCTACCAGTTTATAACTCATTCAAAGCAGATTAGATCTGAAGCAAAAACTAGATGACAGTGTGCTTTTGAATTCATCCTACTTGAGGCAAATGAGGAGAAAACAATCTGGCAGCTGAAAACTTTACTTAGGAATAATGTTTATCTTCAAAATATCTCCGAAGAGAGACTGTGTGGGCCACAGCAACTTGGCACTACGCAGTCTGACTTACCCTGTTTGAGTGTTTTGGTGTCTTTAGGCCATAATAAGATGCAGCAAAAGTCTCCCTAGTGACTATGTATGAAGAAGTATAATCTGGGGTCTAGATGCCACAGAGCATCCATATTTATCTCCAAAGGCTATATAAATTCAGCAGATGAGAAGGAAAACATTAATTAGACAGACCCTGCCTTTGGCAGTAATCACCCTTAGTGACAGCTGAACCAGCCAGTGGATAAAATACATCCCAAACATGATATGAGAATAAATAACTGAGGATCAAGAAGGAATTAAAAAAGAACAGAAAAAAAATCCCTACAGCCCACAGCACTTTTTATTTGGTGGGGGAAAGAAAATTTTACCTTACACTGGACTTTGGACACAGTTTTTTTTTTTTTTTTAATACAAACTTCCCTCAGTTTAGGGCCAAATCCTGCACCAGCCAATGTCTGTGGAAGTAGGATAGGATATTTCTGAGGCTTAGTCATTAATTCTGATTGTAGAAAACCCTGAGAGTTCTAGCACGCAAGTCCTTAAGGAGGGTCAAATCCTGGAATCATGATATCAGTACAAATCCGTGCCAGGAGTCTACTACAGATATAATCAAATACCCACTGACTTTAGTGAGCTTTAAACACTGTGATGTTAACAAAGCGATTTTTAGATTTTTAATCGTACCATGGCATGTATGCCTTCATTCTTTATTTATGTGAAATTCCCATGAAATATGAGCTTGGATTTACTTCAAGATTTAGCCCTTGGGAGAACACTGCTTTTGATAGTGCTCTATCTCCATCCTCTCTCATTAAAAGCTATTCTGTTCCTGCTGGATTGGTGGCAGTGCAAAAGAAATCTAAAATTTTTCACCCTCTGACTCATTTAGATTAAGAGTCATAGTCGGTAATTTAGCAAAATATTTAGATGCTAGAAAGTGCTTCAAAGCCATTTGTTATCAAATAACCTGACGGTGAATCTTCTGTAGGGCTTTGTCCTTAAAATCGATAAGATTTCCCTTCTCCTGGCACATCCAGTGCTTTGGTGCTAGATTCCAGGCAGAATCCGATGTCGCAACTCGCTGCCTTTGCTTCAGGCTCTGCTGTCTCCTGAGGAATCCAGGCAAGTGACATCCTCGCATTGCCCCGACTCATTCTTTTCAATGCTCCGGTGGGTCTTTTTCTTCTAGTTGCTGTTTCTTTTCCAACGGGGGAAAGACTTTGCAATAGAACAGCAGAAGACTCCAACGCTTGGGACGTGGGACATTAAGGACGCAGGGAGGAGGCGCTCAGCACTGTTCGGCCTCCACGAAGCCCTCCTTCTCGTGGCTGCCGGCCTCCACCTCGGAGTACGTTGCATGGTTGGTATGATTTCGGAATTTCATGGCAGGCCAGTGATGTGGCCTTCGCTGTGGATAGAAACAAAGATCCATCAGAAGCTGTGACAGAGCCTTTCACTCCGAGCCAGCTGGGAAAGCTGAAACTCAGTCCTGAAACAAAACCAGTGCTGTCTTGTGACAGCTCAACATTTTATTAATAAAATCACTTCATGCTTAAAGAGCATTTACAAAGCATCAATCTCACTGAACTGACCCCCCTAATAAGGTCAAAAGAAGGAGCAGAGGAAGTGGAAACTGTAAGTGACTTCTCACATCAGTCTTGGAACAAGGATGGCCTGTGCCTGGCTTAATAGCCAAGGGCTGCCACTGGCTTCCTGTGTCACCACAGACAAATCATCTCTCTGTGTCTCTCCTCCTTATCAGCAACACAGGGACTTTCTCAGTTGCTGTGAAGAGAGACGCTTTAAATATTATGAATTGTTCAGGTACTAAACTGATAGGGGCCAGATAGATCAATTCTCTGAAGCCTGACTCTTTGAATAGACAGATGGAGGAAAGACAAGTGCTGTAGGAAAAAGCCAGAGTGACAGGGAAAGGCTGAGGGCTACGTGTTGCTCACTCCCTCCACAGTGGTTCCTATGCCAGGATTCAGCCCACTTCTGCCTGCCTCGGAGCCTGTATCAAGCAGCCTTTTGGCTCTTAACAGCAGATGGAGATTGTCAGACCCCCTATCTTTCTGAGAATTAAAATCTTGCATTTAGAGCATTCACACCACCACTTACAAATTAGCTGATGGCATAACATCTATCAGTTAACTCTGACAATTTTAGTCAACAAAATCCAGCTGGGCAATTCAAAAGGCAGCAATTTCAATTATGTCATAGCTCCAACTGAGTCCTCCAGCCAAGCTGTGTGCGCTCACTCATGCAGCGTGTGGAAGAGTCTGCTGTTGTATGGGGGAAAAGGCAGCATGTGAAAGGGAGCATATGAAAGAGTACAAAATAAAATGCGGGTGTAGGAGGAAGAGCAATGAGGTTTAAAACATCACCAGCAACTAACTGCAAGCTGATGCTGTTGTGCTGATGGTAGCAGAGGGAGAGAAAATAGCCTGTGATACGGTTCTCCACTCACCTCAATGAAGAACAGGGCAGCATTTGACGTGGGATGGCTGTTGATATAAATTCCAGCAAGGATAATAGCGGCAATGAGCAACACGGCCAGCACGATCCCCACAATAGTACCTGTGTGGATGGGGGTTCCTGCCTTCTTTGAGGGAAGGCTGCTTCCCGTACCTGCAAAGAGAGGATTCTGTTAAGGCTGGAATCACCGAGCTCTTGGTAAAAGAAAGGACAGAAAGAAAAAAATAAGTTTTTTTTTTTTCTCTTTAGGGCACTACATGAAACACTGAGCAACTTCACCCGCTATTGTCTAGCTCAGAAGGGGAGTAAGGGAGCTAGGCCCACCAGTGAGCATCCGTGAGCTCACATAGCAAAAGTGCACATTCTAGACCAAACTTGGAATATGATACCTAAATAATACCTAAAAATAATTCATATGAAGTAAGTCCTTACCCTGAATTTACTGTTTGAGCTGCAGCATCAGATGGTGTCAATAGCTGTTTTGAAAGAGGATTAAACAACTACTATCTAGTAACCACCCCTCCCGCCCCCTGCATCCATATTCTTTATATATTGGATGCTCACTCGGATGAAAGCCATTAGCCATATGCTGAGTGTGTCCTTAGCATGTCTTACCCGCAGCCCTCCAGCTTGCCTTCAGTCCTTGGCTATGAATATTCAATCGCACAGAGCTACGGAGGGCGTATATAGCATATATTAACAGTGACATTACCAGCCATTTGGGGAGTAATTTGGCTGAAACGGGGAAGGTCATGGATTTCAAAGGCCCCATGCCTGCGGAGGAACTGCTTCTATACTCAGTTCAGCCAGTTTAACTTTTGGGAGCTGCTTTCAGCTAAGAGACATGGGCTTGTGGTTTGCATTTGCCCACAGTCCTTGGGAATGTGATTTCAGAGGCAGAAGCACTGAGATCCTGCCCATATCCTGGAATTAGGAAGAGCATTATGGTCACAGTTCCCTTCTCTGTCCTTGGGGCTGATTAACACACTCGGATTGAGAAGGGATTTGCTAGAACAGAGGTGGAAAAAAACAGAGATGGGCTAATGGAAAGGAGGCTTTTTATGTTTGGCTTTTATAATGCTCTTTGGCATAGCAGGGGAATTCAAAAGCAGCAGGGCTTTGCAACTACGCAAAGAAGGAGAATTATATAGGAAAGACAAAAACATATCATCTTAGTTCACCTGTCAAATCGGAGAAGGTGGCGAAAGCAGAAAAACAGCATCAGGCTGAAACAGATTGGTCTCACTTTTCACAGTCTGAATTGGTATTAATCAGGGTAAGGACAAAGGATTTTTGTCTTGATTACATCCTTCAATCTCAGCCTCTCCTGTCCGCTCTGCGGTCTGATCACAACTCTCCAACACATTTGATTTCAGTGTAACATGTTCTCACTTAGGAAGAACGTGAACAGGCAAAGAGAAGATTAAGGACTTACCATCACCTCCTGCATACTGATTGAGCTTTGTATCATCTGAAAGAAGAAAATGGGGAAAAAAATACTTAGACTTCTAGGATATTCTCTGTTCTTGCCCTGCTCTGTCATTCCTGTGGAACAGGAGGCCTTGGGCAGAACACACTGCTCTGCACAGCACTTGCACCATCAGTGACAATTTCACCTCTCAGGTTGGTAGAGGAGAAAGGCACCCAGAAAACAAAACAGTAGTGACAGCAATTTCTGGGTTTCTTTGCAAAAGAGGCACCTGAAGCACAAATATTTGTAGAAATCAGTCATTAATATGCCCAGTGTGCAATGCAGAATGATAAATGGATGTTGGATGGGGCCCCAGCCTTGTGGGTGTCTATGTTCAGCCTATGGCATTTGCTGAAACACGCTGCTAATATTGGATTTATCCCAAGGAAATCAAGGGGAATCCACAGCTGTCTTCCATGGGGGGGGCATAGAGTCCAATGCCATTCTTCATTTCACTCTGAAAGCACCAGGATTTATTGCACAAGGCCTTATCCTCTCTTGAAGTTCACCACAACAGAGTGCTGGAGAATCCAGCCAAAAGCCGAATCCAGAATTTCTGCTGCTCAGACACGTCCCCAAACGTCCCCACGAGCGGCTCCAGCGGCCGGGCTGGGCGGATGCAGAGGGCAGGACCCTTCGCTCTGCTTGTTCCCGAGCTGCCTTCTCCAGATAAAGCTCGCTGCCTGATGCAGCTGGCTGCTTTGTTTCCTTCCAAGATTACAAATTAACTTCATGCTTGAATATGTCACAAAAAGCCTCTTGTTCCTCTTCCAAGAATTGTCGACGAGTTGGAAAATAATCTCAGTGGTGGTGTTACGCTCCCCCTTCCTTTAATTGCTCCTTTCAAAGTCAACTTTGTCAGCCAGGCGCCCCATTCCTCCCCCCGGCCCAACTCCTTCCCGTTGCTGAAGGACAATTACTAATGTTCCTTTCTATTTATTCTAATTAGCAGTTTGCGTTAGGGACTATTAAGCAGCAAAATTGAAGTGATACCTGCCGCTAGGATCTGAGGAGACAGCCCTGCGTTAATAGGGTTATCAAGCTGTAGAACAGGGGTGTCTCGAGGGAGACCCGGCTCCTCATTCGGAGCTTTCTCGTGCTGGAATGAGCCCGTCCTGAAGCAGAGGACAACCGCATGTCCGGACCATGTTACCACCAGGCACAGAGCGCCGGCAGCCCCGAGTCACCGGTGAGGATGTTAAAAACATGAGGCCCTAGTTACGGTGTTAACTTCTCTTATGGCATTAGGGAGTCTGTCCACTGGGGAATACAGGGATTTGGTCTGTTATCAACTCAGGCAGCTGTAAAACTCTTCCCACTTGAAGGTCTGAGCTGCCACAGCATCTTCCTCTCTCATCTTCCTCCATCATTCCTAGCCCTTTCCGCTGCCTTCTCTAGCCATCCCTGCCCTTGCGCTTCAACAACTGCATAGCCAGGAATATTACTGCGTTTTCTTGGATATTAATTGGCTTCATTAGGCATCAGAGTGAAAGACCTCTCAGGAGGAAGTGTTGAGGAAGGGTGTCCCTGCGGCAGCTGCTCGCCCCATCTGCCCGTACCTTCTGTGGTGAGGCTGCTGATGAAAAGCGAGGACGTGGAGGTGGTGACATCCTCGCTGAACGGCGAGAAAGAGCTGTCAGGCGGTGCCGAGTAGCGGTCATCTTCTGCTAAATCCTCACACGTCTTCTCATCCGACTGAAAGGAAAAAGGAAAAAATGACTTCTGTTCCTAGCAATGCTCCAACAAGAGCACCAGGGAGCTACAGGTTAGACCCGTGATTCCCAAGCCCTTGGGGTTCCACCACGGGAAGGGGGAGGTGGGGAACATGGTCCAGATGTGCTGGAAAAGTGGCAGGGGGTCACCCAGCAGTGGGAAAAATGGGTGGAAAACTTTGGGAACCACTGAGGGCGGATGGCCATGATCTGGCAGGGTTCTCTGCTCTGGCTTCCTTGCGTGACCTTAGCGTAGGTCCCGTGACTTCCCTTCCCCTCCCTCAGTCCTCTTGGTAAACATGGAACAAAGCTGAGTCTTCAGTGGGAAAAAAAATGCAAAAAAAACAAAGCAGAAACAGATGTTTCATTAAAACTGCTCTTTCTGAGACAAAGAAACTAGTTCAACCAATGCAGAGGCAGTTGCACTAACAAGGACAACAATCACAAGGGCTAATTTCTTCATCCTTCAGCCTGAATAAGAGTCATGATTCAGAAAGTGAGAGAGAAAAGAATATCCCAGCTTGCACCATTACTTAATTTACTTGGCACTTCTGCTGAACATCCACCAGCACAGGAGCAAGACCAGCAGAGCAAGGACATGTAGCACCAGATTAGATGGAGCATCTATTTTCAGAGGAGCAGGGGGAAATGTGCCCTGCAAGTGTGTCGTGGCCCTGCTGCAATGGGGAAGGGATATCTAAAGGGCTGTTTGGTCCATTCCAGAGCAGCACAGGCCAAGTGGAGCTCAGAATGATTTTTGCAACTTGGGATACATCCACTGTCTTTAGTTCTTAGCAGCCTCAGTACAGGACGTGCAAAATGGCTTTTATCACCCTTCAAGCAGCCAAAACAAATTGGAAAACAAACTGTTTTGATTATGTTTTTGCACCTGTAGCTAAATGTCTCGTTGTAAGAGCTGCATCATAAGAACACACCGTAAGCGCCGTTCCTGGCCAGCAAAATCCACATCCCATTGGAGTCCCGTCAGCCTAAGGCGACCTTCGCTGGATCTTACCCTCTGGCCACAGCCGTAGGACAGCCACTCCTCACGGTACCGGTCAAACCCACTGGAACATCTGCAGAGACGAACAACGTGAATCCAGGAAGGAATTTCCAGCAGGAAAATCCCTGCGAGACCCAGCAAGCGCTCGGGGCTGAGCAGCGATGCCCATTTGACCCCTCTACACGGGCGTCATTCCTAGCGAGGATTCCTGAGCTGCCTCTGAATCCCAAACGCCACCCCAATGGGCACGGTGTATAGATACTTGGACAAACAAATATCAGAGGACTGGAAACATTATACACAAGTTGGTCTCCAAAGACATGTAGTTTCCAATACAGCTGTGCTGGAAGGACCCAAATGTTCCTCTTTACAGAGGAGGAAAAGGGTCAACACTGCTTCTCCAAGGGAAACAGAGACACAGAGAAATAGGAAAAATATATAGACCGAGTTTGACTTTCCATTCTCTGGACTCTATGCCAGAGCAAGGCCATGATCTCCGCGACTTTTTTTTCCAGCGACATCTGCACAGGAAAAGCAACATTAAAGAAATTACAGGCTGCATCAAGAAAACACCAACTAGCGAAATCTCTACAAAAACCGAGGGAATGAAACAAAACCCTGACCTTTGCAAAGCCCCTGGGACTACCAAGAGATGAATCAGGGGTTCAGCTCATCCATGCAGTCATTTACCCAACTACCAGCCAACAAACGAGGTGAAGCCACAAGATCTTGAGGTCCTGCTGAGTCACCGAGCGCTTTTGTGCTGACGTAGAGCAATTAGGGGCTCGGCAAAGCAACATTGCAAACCACACTGCTAAAAACAAGCTAAAAGGAAAATCTGGGGTTAAATCATTGAGCTGGGCTCAGGATATCAGTCCAAATCCTACGAGCCTCCTCGGAAAAATCATGTTGGCTTTGCAAAACCAGCCTAGTTGAGAGCCGGCAAGACAGCAGTGGACTCAACTGCTCCTGATGGCTCCAGCCTGCCATTTCCCCGACATGGAAAAGTTTTGCCATTTGTATCTGTCGTCCACGTTCTTCACTATGAGCTGCCTACGCGCCGTTCCGGCCGCAGGAAGCTGGTATTTCAGCCAAAGCATCCAGGAGGAACCATAATATACCCACTAAGTGCAAGAATAAGCAGCTGTGCCCTCCGAGCTGGCCGCCGGGGCTGCCTATGCCATGAATGTGGAATAAGGACGTTCTTGGACACCTGGGTTTCAGACCAAACAAGATCCAGCCTGACACGCTGCATCCCGGGCTCGGTTCTGCTACCAAAGCCACATCTGGTTTCGCACAACTCAGCTGCGAGAACATAATATCCTCTCATCTGAGGCCACCAGCTGAGCAACTGTCACTGAAAAATGATGTTCCCCTGGCTCTGGTGATATTCCAGCCCCAGCCCACTGAGAGGCAATGAATCAACGCTGATTTATAGGGCAGTTTCGCTGATGGCTCAGGATCTTTCCCTGCTCCAGCTGCCATGGATGTACCTGCCGAGGCCTCGCTGCAATTCTTGCATGGAAGACAAGAGCATAAAGGTCTCGAGCGAAGCGATAGGGACAGGAGCAAAGTAGGTGCCCCGAGGAAGGGGCTCAGGGGATTTCTGAAGCAGGGACGTGGCTGCGCTGCCTGCGAGGATCTGTGTTACTGGGTCCTCTCCCCTGCCGCCAGCTCCAAATAAATATTTCAGCAAAAAAGAAAGACCTCAATAAACTCTCACATGCTCCTCTTGAGCTGAAGGAGGAGAGAGACCAGATCTCCTCGCCTGGGGATGGAAAAGGGGCTAAAATTTCTCCATTTGCCCCAAAAGCTCAGCCCAGCCCACCGCCTACAACGTGTCCCCAGAAGAAAAGCCCTAACCCCACGAAGCGAGGCCGGCTACCTCTGCAGGACGTGGCACCAGCTGCAGTTGAAGGTCAGCTCGGAGCTCTCGCACGTTTCGCAGCTCTGGTGCTGCAGACAGGCTGCAAAAGAGAGAGGAGACGCGGGGCAGCCGGAGCGCCGGGAAGCGGCATCGGCAGCGCGACGGGCTTGGAAGAGGAGCCCAGCAGGAGGGGCTTGGGGGCCTCTCTGGCACCGTGACGCGGAAAGGGCCGTTTTGCAGCGGGTTTAACGTGTCCCCGCAGGGAGACCCTGACGGTCTGTGCAGCCAGGGCTCCTCGGGAGACCTCGTTCTCAACCACCCCAGCTGCTGCGGAGGGGAAAAAGGCACCTCTGGAGGAAAAACCCCTATGTCCTGCACACTGTGTATTAATGATCCACCTTGCAGCAACCCTGCTGGATGGTAAAATTGTCATAAAACACCCCGGGGAGGCCGCGGAAGTGCCCGACCCTGGTGCACTCCTGGCAGATTCACTCTCCGCTGCACATCTGCGCATGCCGACGTGCCCTGCACATGCGTGTGCGTGTCCTCCATGCGCCCGGCTAGCAGGATCCTCCATAAATTATATCCCAGGAATGGCTGGGGGGGGCTTGCAAACGCCATCCCGGCCAGGCGGTGACGGGTGGCCAAGGCTGTCCCCTTCCAAGGGACACGGGGCCAGCGGCCCCACTTACTGGGCAGGGGGGTGAACTCCACGGCCGCCAGGCTGCTGATCTTGCTGGTGTCCAGCTCCACGCGGTGGTACTCGTAGATGGTCCGGCGGCGCGACTCTGCAGCGGGAGCCGCGCAGGGATGCAAAGAGACAGAGCTCCTGTTTGCCAAGGAGAAGGCTGGAGCTCCCGCTGCCCCTCTGCTTCCCGGACGGATTCTCCCCGCGTGGATGCGCCCAGGCCTCGCGCGGAGCAGCCTGGGCCGCACAGCACGTTGCCTGGCCCTGACTCACAGCTTGGAGCCTCCCCCGGGCCGAGCTCCTGCCTGGATCCCCCGCTGCAATTCCCGGCCCTTCCGAAGCCGCCTCCTTTCCCGGCTCCCCCGGACCAGGGGGCCGGAGGGTCCGTCCCGCACTGAAGTCCTCCCAGTTTCTCTCTCTCTGCCATCAATTTACTTGCTGGCAGCAGCCGAGATGCTTCCCTGGCTCCGCGCCCCGAGGGGGATGATCCAAGCGGTGCTTCCAGGGCTGCCACGGCTCCAAGGCTCTCGCCTTCCCTCCCCTCTCCTCCCTGAGCCCCTCGTCCTTCCCCTCCTCGGGGTTCGGCTCCCTGCCCGCAGGGCCGGTGGCCCTGGAGCAGCCGCGGGGATGGGGACACCAAGGGGCTGCTCCCGCTCGAGGGTTTCCCCGAACCAGCCATAAACAAGGGCCAGATGGTCGGCGCTGTAAATAACAGGCAAAAGCAGCAGCACCAGGTGCTGCGCGGGAGGCAGGAGCGAAGGCGGCAGGGGAACGTCCCCCGCATCCCCCCCGTGTCCCCAGAGCACCCGTGTCCCCTGCAGGCAAATCCGTGGGCGCCGGCCCCATCCCATCGGGACATGGCGCAGGGAAGCGCGCGGCACGGCGCGGGGCTGATGCTCGGGCCGTGCGTGATGCACTCGGGACCTGCAGGGGCTTCTTGCTTAAAGAAAAATGAAAAAAGCAGCCAGAGACCCCAAACTGGTGCCCCAGAGCCCAAACCTGGTGCAACGCGCCCCCAAACCAGGGCAACGCTCCCCTCCCGAGCAGGAACAGCCCAGCTTTGAGCGCGGCATCGGCCTCGATCCCGGCCCCGCTGCCTCTCGTCCCCCTGCCGCGTTTGCAGCCGCCCTCGCTCCTCCTCGGCTGGAGAGCAGGGACGCGGCTTGGCTGCCAACAGCGGCTTCAATGCGCTGGGCAAGAACCGCGATGTCCCCGGGGCCGCCGAGCGTCACCAAAGCACAAGACGTCCATGGGCCGGGGCCACGCGGCCAGCTGGGCCCGCCGGCACCCGGGGCTGCTGGCCCACGAGCAGGGGAGGTCACTCACCGGGCACGTCGGGAGCCGGGTTGAGGATCATGAAGGCGTCGGAGAGGCCGGCCTTGACGGGGTGCTGCGTGGCGCTGATCCGCAGCACCGGCACGGGGATCTGCAGCCAGGGAGAGCGGCGCCGTGGGCCTAGGGACTGCAGCCCATGGCCATATCCATGCACTATATCCATATGCACTATATCCACACACGGGCTATATCCATGCACGTGCACTATATCCATATGCACTATATCCACACACGGACACTATCCATGCATGTGCACTATATCCATATGCACTATATCCACACACGGACTATATCCGTGCACGTGCACTATATCCATATGCACTATATCCACACACGGACTATATCCATTCACGTGCACTATATCCATACGCACTACATCCACATATGGACTATATCCATGCACTATATCCAAGGGACCCCCTCCAGGCGCCCCCAGGCTGGGGGTCATTGCAGAGGCTCCATCTCCCACCTCCTTGTAACCGAACACGATCCTCCCGGTGCGGTGCAGGGCGGCCTGGAAGGTGAAGCTGCCCACGTCCTCCTTGCCCTGCAGATAGACCTTGTCCCACTGCACCACGAAAACCGTCCCTGGGGAGACACCGGGGGCGATCGGTCCCGCTCGCCCTCCTCGTGTCCCCCCATCCCAGCAACTGCCGGGAGCAGTGGGGCCTCTTAAGCTCATGCAAGGGTCTCCTCCTCCTCCTCCAGCGCGCTTGGAGCGAGCTCCAACCGCACACCCGGCACCTCGGCATCGCCAGGCTGCAGCATCCCGGCGGCTCCTCCGGCCGGAGCGGCGCGCGGGGCTCACCGTTGTCCCAGTACTGCACGGTGGAGTTGCGCGAGTAGCTGGGGTTGAAGTTGGCCATGAGCGGCGCCAC